TCTTTCCAACCGTAAGAAGAGATATCTTTAAGTTTTAATGATGATTATAGTTGCAAGGTGTGGATATAAACTGAAATATCTGAAGTCTTTACTATCTTCAAGAATTTTAAAAATCTTGTTGAGAAGGAGACTGAAGAAGAGATAGGGGTGCAGAGTTCACCTCTCACGAGTTCAATATTTTTTGTAAAACTAATGGTATTAGTAGACAACTTACTGCAGCATACACTCCTAAACAAAATGGTGTAGCTGAGCGCAAGAATAGAACAATAATGAACATGGTTAGTAGTATATTATCAGAGAAGCAAGTTCCAAAGAATTTATAGCAAAAAATAGTAAACTGGACAGTGCACGTGCTCAACAAAAGTCCTATAGTGGTAGTGAAAGATATGACTCCTGAGGAGGCTTGGAGTGACGTAAAACCTAATGTTGATTATTTTCGAATTTTTGGATGCATTAGCTATGTTCATGTATAAGATAGTAAGAGAAAGAAATTAGATGATAAAAGTTTTCAGTGTGTGCTGTTAAGGATGAGTGTTTGACTCTTTGATCTAGTGTCCAAGAAGATAGTTGTAAGCAAAGATGTAATTTTTGAAGAAAATAAGTGTTGGAATTGGGGGAAAAGCAATGTACAAGCTAGACTTGATACACTCGAATGAGAAGATAGTAATATAGAAGGAAGCAAACATGAGCAAAGTGAGAAAAAATCTGAAGAGGAGGTGGTAGCACAAGAAGTAGGGAAAGTTAGTATATCTTCCGGTGAGTCAACTGAATCAAATTTTTCAACATATGAAGAAAGCACATCCAAAGTGAGTTATAGAAGAGCACCATTATGGATGGAAGATTATGTGAAAGGGAGAGAATTTTCTAAAGAAGCTAAGCACAACAATTTAGTTCTATTAATCTCAACTACAGATTCGACTACCTTTGAAGAAGCTATTCAATGTTCAAAATGGGGAGCTGCAATAGACTTGGAGATAGAAGCCATCGAACGAAATGAGACTTGGGAGTTGACATATTTGCCTAAAGGAATGAAGAAGATTGGAGTAAAGTGGATTTTCAAAACCAAACTCAACGAAAATGACGAAGTTGACAAGTATAAGGCTAGGTTGGTAGCAAAAGGTTATGCACAGCAACATGGTATAGATTATACTGAGATGTTTGCACCTGTGAGTAGGTGGGATACTATTCGAACGATAATTGATTTAACAGCTCGAAATAGTTGGAACGTGTATCAGCTTGACGTGAAAAGTGCTTTCTTATATGGAGAGTTAAAAGAAGCCGTGTTTGTTGAGCAACCACAAGGTTATGAGAAGAAAGGTCAAGAATACAAGGTTGAAGAAGACATTATATGACCTTATACAAGCCCCACATGCATGGTAAAGTCGAATTGGAGCACATTTTGTCAAAGAAGAATTTTAGAGGTGCAACTGTGACCATACTTTATTCATACAAGTAGAAGATGAAGGCAAAATTTTGATTGTTAGTCTATATGTTCACGATCTAATTTTTACTGGTAATGATGAGAGCATGTTTGTTAAGTTCAAGAATTCGGTGAAACTTGAATTTGAAATGATTGATTTGAGAAAAATGAAATATTTTCTTGGTGTAGAGATTTTACAAAATCTTGAAGACATTTATATTAGTCAGAAAAGTATGCAAAAGAAGTTTTTGGAGATGTTTATGATGAAAAAAGTAGTTTAACCCTATTGTTCCTGGGGTTAGACTGAAAAAGGATGAACAAGGAGTCATTGTCAACGCTACCATGTTTAAACAATTGATTGGAAGCCTTATGTATTTAACTGCATCAAGACCGGATTTAATGTATGTAGTGTCTCTAATTAGCAGTTTTATGGCAAGTCCAACTGAGTTGCATTTGCAAGCAACAAAAAGGGTGTTGAGATACTTGAAAGGTACTGTAGATTGGGAGTTCTTTATTGGAAAAAGGGTAATGGAGAGAGTTGATGGCACATTACTGACAGTGATTATGCAGGAGATATAGATGACAGGAAAAACACTTATGGTTATGTGTTTTTACTAAGTGATGGAGAAGCGTCTTGGTTCTCCAAAAAATAACCTATAGTTACTTTGTCCACTACGAAGCAGAATTTGTGGCAGCCGCCTCTTGTGCTGGTCAAGGGTTATGGAAGAGGAGAGTTTTTAAAAAACTTGGTCATTTTCAAGACAAGTGTATCACTATGTTATGTGATAACAGTTCTACTATTAAGCTATCTAAGAATCCAATCATGCATGGACGCAACAAACACATTGATGTGAGGGTTCCACCACTTGCACGGTCTGGAATGAGCATAAAATCTTTTGTTTATTAGCTAAGTTAGTTAGAGTGTTGCATTAATAATGCAAAGATCACAGGTTCAACACTTGCATGGGCCAATTTCATTAATTCTTATCTTTATTTATACAGGGTTACAACACTCAATATCACCGCGTGAACATAAGATGTTGTTACCAATATAACTCCCGAGGGATCGACCACTATTCTAAATAGAGTAGAGTAAAGTCAGGCGGAGAATGTTCATTGGAGTGCGGAGGTTGTTCCCATCATTGAAGTCAGAGTGTGGGACTGAGCCTTACGAATGATAAAGACAAAAAAGTGACTTAAAATTGAACTTGCATGGGCCAATTTCATTACTTCTTATCTTTTATTATACGGGTTACAACACTCTGACTTAAAATTGAATTTGCATGGGCCAATTTCATTAATACAAGCTCATATTTTATCTTTGTTACTTTTTCTTAATAATGAGAAACAATTTGAAAGAAGGGGCGTCTACCGCTGAACTATTGGTCTTAGAACCAAGAATAAATAGGCTTACTCTTCAATTGAATTCAAATGAAAATGGAATAAACAGGATTACTCTTCAATTGAATTAAAATGAAAATCCAAACTCAACCGCTGATTGATGCTTTGTTCGAAAAATCCCAAAATCTAGATTTGATTGTCGTGTCGTAAGAAAAAAAAGGAGAAGAAGAATTATGTATTTTTTTTTATTGAACATATTTGCTCATTTTGACCACTTTATCATATTTTATCATACTAATTTCTACTTTACCTTCTTGGAGTTCATTCGGGAGAGAACTCTATTCTACGCATTGCGCTCGATTCTTTCCAATGTTCTTATATATGATCTCATTGGAAATCATATAAACACAATTCCTATTTAATATAGCGATTTGGACAAGTATTTTACGAGGATTAAGAACTACCGATCTGGAATTTGCATAAAAACTTTCACCTATTAGCTTAGTTGGTCACCAGCAAATGCCAATTTCATTCATTCTTATCTTTCATGATATGGGGTTACAACACTAAGTTTTATGTTTATTATGCCTAAAATTATGTAACTAAACTCGATTGATTGGATTAGGATCTACTGATCTCGAATATTCACAAAATTGTTGGCCTATTAACTCATTTGGTTAAAGTGTTGTGTTAATAATGTGAAGGCTGCAAGTTCTAACACCTGTATGAACCGCAAATCTCTTATTAATTATTATCTTTTATGATATTGGGTTACAGCACTAAACCTGCATGAGCCAATCTCTCATTAACAATGAAAGTTAAAGTTTTTATGCATAAAATTATTTGGAATGTTCATAAAATCGTTGGCCTATTAACTTAGTTGGTTATAATGTCTGTGCTAATAACGCGAATGTCGTAGGTTCGACATCTGCATATGCAAATCTCTCATTAACTCTTATCTTTCATGATACTTTAAAAGTTTAGGTTTATTATGCCTAAAATTATGTAACCTAAACTATTGCCTAGACGATCTAGAATGAGCAAAAAATTGTTGGTCTATTAGTTTAGTTGGTTAGAACCTTATGCTAATAATGCAAAGGTCCCAGTTTTGACTTCTACCTTCGAACTTTAAAGATAATGACTTAAAATTTTAAAAGTTTTATGCCTAAAATTATTTCGCTTAAACTCAGATTAATTGGATTAGGAGCTAAATATGCATAAATTTGGCCTACATGTTTGTTACTTGCATGGGCCAAGATAAAGACTTAAAATTTAAAAGTTTTATGTTTATTAAGCCTAAAAGTATGTAACATAAACCTGATTGACCGGACTAGGAGCAATAAGTAACACTACAAACATTAAACATACTGATCGATGTGCATTTCAAACTTTAAAGATAATAGCTTAAACTGTGAAATTTTTATGTTTATTATGCCTAAAATTATGTAATCGATTGACTAGATTAGGAGCTATCGATCTAAAATGTGCAAAAAATTGTTGGCTTATTAGCTCAATTGGTTAGAGCATTGTGTTATTAACGTGAAGGTTGTAGGTTTGACACATGCATGGGCCAATCTCTCATTAATTCTTAATTTTTATGATACGAGTTATAGCACTACAAACTTCAAAGATAATGACAATAAAACTTTATAAAACTAAAAGTTTTATGTTTATTACACCTACCGATCTAGAATGTGCATAAAATCGTTGGACTATTAGCTCAGTTGGTTAGAGAGTTGTGCTAATGATGCGAAGGTCGTAGATTTGACACTTACATGGGCCAATCTATCATTAATTCTTATCCTTTATGATACGGGTTATAACACTACGAACTTCAAAGATAATGACGTAAAGGTTTTATGTTTATTATGCCTAAAATTATGTCACTTAAACTCGATTGACTTGATTAGGAGTTATCGATCTAGAATGTGCATAAAATTGTTGGCCTATTAGCTCAGTTGGTAAGAGCGTCGTGCTAATAACACGAAGGTCACAGGTTTGACCCTTGCATGGGCCAATCTCTCATTAATTCTTATTTTTTATGATACAGGTTATAGCACTACGAACTTCAAAGATAATGACGTAAAAGTTTTATGTTTATTATGCCTAAAATAATATCACTACCGATCTAGAATGTGCATAAAATTGTTGGCCTATTAGCTCAGTTGGTTAGAGCGTCGTGCTAATAACACGAAGGTCACAGGTTTGACCCCTGCATGAGAATGTGCATAAAATTGTTGGCCTATTAGCTCAGTTGGTTAGAGCGTCGTGCTAATAACACGAAGGTCACAAGTTTGACCCTTGCATGGGCCAATATCTCTTTAATTCTTATCTTTTATGATACAGGCTATAGCACTACAAACTTAAAAGATAATGACGTAAAAGTTTTATGTTTATTATGCCTAAAATAATGTCACTTAAACTCGAGTGACTGGATTAGGAGCTATCGATCTAGAATGTGTATAAAATTGTTGGCCTATTAGCTCAGATGGTTAGAGCGTCGTGCTAATAACGCGAAGATCGTAGGTTCGACTCTTGCATAGGCCAGTCTCTTTTTAATTCTTATAATTTATGATATGGGTTTCAACACTACAAATTCAAAGATAATGATGTAAAAGTTTTATGTTTATTATGCCTAAAGTAATGTCACTTAAACTCGAGTGACTGGATTAGGAGCTGCAGATCTAGAATAATAATGTTGGCCTATTAGCGTAGTTGGTTAGAGAGTTGTGCTAGGTTGTAAGTTTGACACTTACATGGGCCAATCTTTGATTAATTCTTATAAGTTATGATACGGGTTATAGCACTACGAACGTCAATGACGTAAAACTTTTATGTTTATTATGCCTAAAATTATGCCACTTAAACTCGATTGGGCTGGATTTGGAGCTATTAATCTAAAATTTGCATAGAGTTGTTGGCCTATTAGCTCAGTTGGTTAGAGCTTTGAGATAATAATGTGAAGGTCGCAGGTTTGACACCTGCATGGGCCAATTTCTCATTAATTCTTATCTTTTATGATACGGGTTATAGCACTACGAACTTCAAAGATAATGACTTAAAAGTTTTATGTTTATTATGCCTAATATTATGTCACTTAAACTCGAGTGACTGGATTAGGAGCTACCAATCTAAAATGTGCAAAAAAATGGTCTATTAGCTTAGTTGGTGAGAGAGTTGTGCTAATAATTCTTATCTTTTATGATGCAGGTTATGACGTAAAAGTTTTATGTTTATTATGCCTAATATTATGTCACTTAAACTCGATTGACTGGATTACGAGCTACCGATCTAGAATGTGCATGCAATTGTTGGCCTATTAGCTCAGTTGGTTAGACCATCGTGCAAATAACAGGAAGGTCGCAGGTTTGACACCTGCATGTGGCCAATCTCTCATTAATTATTTTGTTTTTATGATACGGGTTATAGCACTACGAAGTCAAAGATAAAGATGTAAAATTTTAAAAGTTTTATGTATATTATGCCCAAATATATGTCACTTAAACTCGATTGATGTGATTAGAAGCTATTGATCTAGAATTTGCATAAAATCATTGGTCTATCAGCTTAGTTGGTTAGAGTGTCGTGCTAATAACGCGAAGGTTGTAGGTTTGACATCTGCATGGGTCAATCTCTCATTAATTCTTATCTTTTATGATACGGGTTATAGTACTACGAACTTCAAAGATAATGACGAAAAATTTTAAAAGTCTCATTAAATCTTATCTTTTATGATACGGGTTATAGCACTACGAACTTCAAAGATAATCACTGTAAAATTTTAAAAGTCTCATTAATTCTTATCTTTTATGATACAGGTTATAGCATTACGAACTTCAAAGATAATGACGTAAAATTTTAAAAGTTTTAAGCTTAATATGCCTAACATTATGTGACTTAAACTAGATTGACTGGATTAGAAGCAACCAATCTAGAATTTGCATAAAATCGTTGGCCTATTAGCTCAGTTGATTAGAGCGTTGTGCCAATAAAGTGAAGGTCGCTGGATTAGGAGCTACCGATCTAGAATTTGCATAAAATCGTTGGCCTATTAGCTTAGTTGGTTAGAGCGTCGTGCTAATAAAGTGAAGGTCGCAGGTTTGACACTTTGCTTAATTATGTCACTTAAACTCGATTGACTGGATTAGGAGCAACCGATCTAGAATTTGCATAAAATCGTTGGCCTATTAGCTCAGTTGGTTAGAGCGTCGTGCTAATAAAGGGAAGGTCGTTGGATTAGGAGCTACCGATTTAGATTTTGCATAAAATCGTTGGCTTATTAGCTCAGTTGGTTAGAGCGTCGTGCTAATAAAGCGAAGGTCGCAAGTTTGACACTCTGCTTGGGCTAGTCTTTCATTAATTTTTATCTTTTATGATAAGGGTTATAGCACTTCGAACCATTAATTTTTATCTTTTATGATAAGGGTTATAGCACTTCGAACTTATGTCACTTAAACTCCATTGACTGAATTAGGAGCTATCAATCGAAAATTTGTATAAAATCGTTGGCCTATTAGCTTAGTTGGTTAGAGCGTCGTGCTAATAACGCGAAGGTTGTCGGTTCAACCCTTGCATTGGCTAGCATAAAATTATGTCACTCGATTGATTGGATTAGAAGCTATCGATCTAAAATTTGCATAAAATCGTTGGCCTATGCGAAGGTCGCAAGTTTGATATAGCTAATCTCTCTCATTAATTCTTATCTCTTATGATAAAGATTATAGCATTACGAACTTCAAAGATAATGACGTAAAATTTTAAAAGTTTTTAAGTTTATTATATCTAAAGTTATGTCACTTAAACTCGATTGATTAGATTAGGAGCTACCGATCTAAATGTGAATAAAATTGTTGGCCTAATAGCTTAGTTGGTTAAAGAGTTGTGCTAGTAATGCGAAGGTCACAAGTTTGACACCTGCATGGGCTAATCTCACATTAATTGATTCGACACATGCATAACTTCAAAGATAATGACAATAAAACTTTATAAAACTAAAAGTTTTATGTTTATTAGGCCTATCGATCTAGAATGTGCATAAAATCGTTGGACTATTAGCTCGGTTGGTTAGAGAGTTGTGCTAATAATGCGAAGGTCGTAGATTTGACACTTACATGGGCAAATCTCTCATTAATTCTTATCCTTATGATACGGGTTATAGCACTATGAACTTCAAAGATAATGACATACTAACTTCAAAGATAATGACGTAAAAGTTTTATGTTTATTATGCCTAAAATTATGTCACTTAAACTCGATTGACTTGATTAGGAGCTACCGATCTAGAATGTGCATAAAATTGTTGGCCTATTAGCTCAGTTGGTTAGAGTATCGTACTAATAACGCGAAGGTCGCAGGTTGGACCCCTGCATGGGTCAGTCTCTCATTAATTCTTCAAAGATAATGACGTAAAATTTTTATGTTCATTATGCCTAAAATAATGTCAATTAAACTCGAGTGAATGGATTAGGAGCTACCGATCTAGAATGTGCATAAAAATGTGATAAAATAGTTGGACTATTAGCTCAGTTGGTTAGAGAGTTGTTGCTAATAATGCGAAGGTGCTCGGTCCGTTACCTTCTTCATAGGGGTTTGGGTTATAGCACTACTTCAAAGATAATAACTTAAAATTTTAAAAATTTTATGCTTATTATGCCTAAAATTATGTCACTCGATTGACTCGATTAGGAGCTATCGATCTAGAATTTGCATAAAATCTTTGGCCTATTAGATTAGTTGGTTAGAGTATTGTGCTAATAATGCGAAAGTCGCAAGTTCGACATTTGCATGGGCCAATCTCTCATTAATTCTTATCTTTTATGAAGGTCGTAGGTTCGACAACTGCATGGGTCAATCTCTCTCTCATTAATTCTTATCCTTATGATACGGGTTATAGCACTACGAACTTCAAAGATAATGACGTAAAAGTTTTATGTTTATTATGTCTAAAATTATGTCACTTAAACTCGATTAACTTGATTAGGAGCTACCGATCTAGAATGTGCATAAAATTGTTGGCCTATTAGCTCAGTTGGTTAGAGCGTCGTGCTAATAACGCGAAGGTCGTAGGTTCGACACCTGCATGGGCCAATCTCTCATTAATTCTTATCATTTATGATTGTGTTATTGCATTACGAACTTCAAAGATAATGACTAAAAGTTTTATGTTTAGAGTGACTGGATTATGAGCTACCGATCTAGAATGTGCATAAAATCGTTGGCCTATTAGCTCAGTTGGTTGCATGGGCCAGTCTCTCATTAATTCTTATCATTTATGATACAAGGGTTATAATACTACGAACTAAAAAAACGGAATCCCCCCCTTTTTTTTATTTGTTCATTGAATTGCAACAAAATAACCCCATCGATAGAGAATGTACTAATTTTTATTTATAGTATATCCTATATAACCAATTAGTTCACTTAGTCACTTGATTGATCAATTTCTATCACTAAAATATATATATATATATATATATCGTTACGAACTCAAAAAACGGAATCCCCCTTTTTTTTTATTTGTTCATTGAATTGCAACAAAATAACTCCATCGATGAGGGAATGTACTAATTTTTATTTATAGTATATCTTATATAACCGATTAGTTCATTTAGTCACTTGATTGATCAATTTCTATCACTAAAATATATATATATTTGTCGTTATCGAAGACGGAATTATAAGGTAATAAGTGTAGTATGGGGAAATAACAAAGTTATTTGTTCATAGAATTGCAACAAAATAACCCCATAGATGGGGGAATGTGCTAATTTTTATTTATAGTTATCCTATAGAACCAATTACTTATTTGTTCATAGATTTGCAACAAAATAACCCCATCCAATGGGGAATGTACTAATTTTTATTTATAGTATATCCTATAGAACGAATTAGTTCATTTAGTCACTTGATTGATCTTTTTTCTATTCATCTTAGATCAATTTCTATCACTATATATATATATATATATATATATATATATATTTGTCGTTATTTTAAGGTAATAAGTGTAGTATGAATAGAACAAGAGAGGGGGGAAATAATAAAGAAAAGGTTAGCCAAAGCTATATACAAGTTATCCACACCCTCTTTTTTTTATTTCATTAATGAAATTTCGATTATTGATTAAGGTGAAGTTCTGTAAAAACTCCTACCTTCTTTAAAATATCATGAGCACTTCCGGTAGGTTGAGCATCCTTTTCAAGGAAATATAGAATAGCAAACTCCTGCCTTCTTTAAAATATCATGAACAGTTCCGATAGGTTGAGCACCATTTTCAAGGAAATATAGAATAGTAGGAACATTTAAATAGGTTTGATTCTTTATCGAATCATAAAAACTCACTTTACGAAGATCTCTTCCTTCTCTTCGGGCTCAGTAACCAAAGGGCTACTGCGGTACCAATCAAAAAGACGGTGGTTGCTACTGGACGACGAAATGGATTTTGGAATTTATTGACATTCTCCAAAAACGGTACAGTTAATAATCCCGCCGGAAACCATTAAAAGAACACCCAATAACTTATTTGGCACTGTACGGAGGATTTGAAATACGGGAAAGAAATACTATTCCGACAATATTTCCAAAGGAGTTGCAAATGGATTTGCGGGTTCACCAATCATTGATGGTTCTAGAACCGCTAAACCCACGTTACATGCAATAGTACCTGGAATTACTACTGGAAAAATATATAAAAGATCATTGGGCCATGTGGGTTCTCCGTAATAATTATGACCCAACCCTTAGCCAATTTAGCTCTTAATACATGATCATTCAAATCGGATTTTTTTGTTATTAGGATAGGTGAATTATTATGGACCCATCCCCTGAAAGAACCGGACATGATAATTTTTCATCATCCGGTTCGAGCACAAATCAAACGAACCAACTGGATGCAGATAAAAAATCGCTATCTTATCCAAGCATTATAAAATAAATGATTAATTCCATGTAAGAAAAAAATTTAGCGGATTCTGTTTTCAGAGTTACAATTATCCATTGCACCGAATTCAATTCTTACACATAAATGCTCAATACCCAAGTAGGCTTACAAAGTTGATAATGTTCAAGTGCTTTCTGGGTCGTCTCAGACCTTGCGATGGGGCTTTAGCTCCCAAAGAAAAATTAAAATATGGATACTTTTTACATCCAAAGCAAAGGATTTACTTGTTACTAATAGAGTCTAGCCTATGTTCTTCTTTAGATCCCTTGTTTCACTCCGATAGTATCATAAATCGAGTCAATGCAGAGGAAATGAATGCATTTTCATACGATTAAGTAAGTGAAATAGATAAAACATAATCTGAATTATGCCAGATATATCACCTATTCTACTGGATCTTACGGAGCCTGGTCATGCACGACATGGTCAAGTCTGATCATAGAAAAGATTCTCTTCAAGCGAACCAGCCTACCCTCTGTATGGAGCTTTCGCGGTGGTTGGAATAAAGACACATTTGGTTGTGAATCCCAATGTGGCAGATAAAAAGACATATATCCACACGGCCGAATCAATAGTTCAAATCACACACTCCCATAATCCATTTTCTCTTCGAAGAATTCCCTTCAACTATTATTGAAAAATAACGAATAAAATTTCGTGGAGTTGAAGGGAAATATCCCAATACATGTCTTATTTTTCAATAAGACATATTTGCAGCAATGAAATACTCTTCTTCCTCCCCCGAGTAATCATAAATAACTAATTACAAATCTATGATTTCGATTCTCTATAAAGGACCAGAAATGCCTTGCTTACGTATCATTGGGAAGTGCATTAACATAAATACGGCAGTAAGAAGAGGTAATACAAAAGTGTGTAAACTATAAAAACGAGTCATGGAAGATTGTCCCACACTAGCACTACCGCGTAATAACTCTACCAAAGGCAACCCTATTACTGGAATAGCTTCCGGTACACCTGTTACAAATTTGACTGCCCAATAACCAATTTGGTCCCGAGGTAAGGAATAACCAGTTACACCAAAGGATGCGGTCAATACAGCCAGAACCACACCTGTAACCCAAGTCAATTCACGAGGTTTTTTAAATCCACCAGTAAGATACACGCGAAATACGTGCAGGATCATCATTAAGACCATCATACTTGCCGACCATTTATGAACTGATCGGATTAACCAACCAAAGTAAGCTTCCATCATTATATATTGAACATAAGCAAAAGCCTTAGTAACGGTCGGACGATAGTAAAAAGTCATAGCAAACCCCGTAGCTACTTGTACTAAAAAACAAGTAAGCGTAATTCCTCCTAGACAATAAAATATGTTGACGTGAGGAGGAACGTATTTGCTAGTTATATCATCTGCAATCGCCTGAATTTTAAGACGTCTCATTAATTCTTATCATTTATGATACGGGTTATAGCACTACGAACTACTTCAAAGAGGCATGGGTGAGTCTCTCATTAATTCTTATAATTTATGATACGGGTTATAACACTACGAACTACTTCAAAGATAATGATGTAAAATTTTAAAAGTTTTATGTTTATTATGCCTAAAATTATGTCATTCGATTGACTGGATTAGGAGCTATCGATTTAGAATTTGCATCAAATCGTTGGCCTATTAGCTTAGTTGGTTAGAGTGTTGATTTAATAATGGGAACATCGTATGTTTGACAACTTCATGGGTCAATCTCTCATTAATTCTTATCTTTTATGAAGGTCGCAGGTTCGACACCTACATTAGCCAATCTCTAATTAATTCTTATCTTTTATGATAAGAGTTATAACACTTTGAACTTCAAAGATAATGACGTAAAATTTTAAAAGTTTTAAGTTTATTATGCCTAAAATTATGTCACTTAAACTCGATTGACTGGATTAGAAGCTACTGATCTAGAATGTGCATAAAATCGTTGGCTTAATAGCTCAGTTGGTTAGATCATCGTGCTAATAACGCGAAGGTTGTAGGTTTGACACCTGCATGAGCGAGTCTCTCATTAATTTTTATCATTTATGATATGTGTTATAGCACTACGAACATCAAAGATAATGACGTAAAATTGTAAAAGTTTTATATTTATTATGCCTAAAATTAAGTCACTTAAACGCGATTGACTGGATTAGGAGCTATTGATCTAGAACGTGTGTAAAATCATTGGCTTGTTTCTTATATTAACTCTTATCTTTTATGATACGGGTAATATTTATTACGCCTAAAATTATGTCACTAAAACTCGATTGACTAGATTAAAAGCTATCGATCTAGTATGTGCATAAAATTATTGGCCTTTTAGCTTAGTTGGTTACAGCGTCGTGCTGATAACGCGACGTAAAAGTTTTATGTTTATTATTCCTAAAATTATGTCACTTAAACTCGAATGACTGGATTAGAAGCTACCGATTTAGAATGTG